ATGAGGGGAAGCCAGAACAGTCATGGTCGCACAAGAAAGCTGACGACGCTACCGAAAAGAATGACGCTGTGCAGCAATTCGGTGCGACACGTCCCGTGTTGATGGTGCTCGCCTCGGAGAAGGGATGGCCGTACTCGTGGAATACGATACGGGATCTTCCTAAGGACGTTTTTGTAAACTGTGAGGTGGATTGAGTGTGGCAGATCGTCAAGGGCGATCTAACCGCGTGGTTCATCCCTCACGGCGGGACCGACTTTAAGTTCGAGCGACGTGTGTTGATTGGGACGCCCGGGATCGGGAAGTCGATGGCTGCCGGTTCGCACCTCCTCTACCAGCTGCTGCACTGCGATGTCGAGAAAAACCAAGTGGTGGTCCACTGTTTTGGTGGAGGAGATGCGTACGTGTTTGACAAGACCATCCAGAGCGGTGACAAGATACAGCGATGAGGACATGTGCATCTCTGAGTTGAGAAGTTTGAGGGGGCATGGGAGGAATGCGTATATTATCTACGATGTGGCAAAGGAGGGAACGCCGCCACCGAGACATTTTGCGCCTACTTCTGGATGGGGCATGATTGCGGTGTCATTCCCAAAGGTAACCAACTATGATGAGTGGGCGAAGCAGCTACAGTCCGCGCGAATCATCGTGAATTGCCCCGACGAGATGGATGTGGAGGCGATGTGCGCCTGGATAACGCGTGATGAGACTAAAGGGAAACAAGCGGAATACTGGAAAGAGGTCAAAAAACACATGTATCTTTTGGGACCGATTCCACGTTACGTCTTTGATGCGGAGGCGTTTAATGAACGCTGCGGAGCGGTGAGGTTTGCATTGCAATTGATCAACGAGGTAACTGTGAAGGACCACTTTTCACGGGGAGGTGAGTCGCCATGGTATTCTGAGGATCCGTCCCACAAGCCTGTGAAGGTTGTTCGGGAAATATACGCAGGCGCTGTGATCCTTTTCAATGCACCGATATCTGATTGCCTCGAGGAACGGACATTGGAACGTTTCCCAAGTGTAACAGAACAAAATGGCTTTTTGAAGCTGATGTTGGTGTCGAAGGATAATATTTTGCCAATATTTTTTGGATGGCTTGCTTTGAGACCGTTGACGGAGGGTGCCTTTGTCAAGGTAATAGCGACGAAACTCACGGAGTTTGAGCCGCCAACAGGACGTCAAGCAAAGCCCTGCGTCTTGAAGTTGGCCCCTGAATTGCATCCCAAGGGAGATGAGGGTTTGCTGCCGAGTGAATATGAGAAAACGATCCGTAAAATAAAGTACGGGGTGCTGTAGAAACCGTGGGCCACAAACTTTCCGCTGGTGGACGCCTTTTTTTTCTCGGAGTCCAATCCAATGACGGTGGTTGGCTGCGGATGACTACGGCGGGTGGGCGCCACACCACTGCCAGCACTGTGAGGCAGTTCACTGAGTGCCTGGCGGCTTATTTTAGTGGTTGGGAGGAGTTATCCCGAGACATTTCGTGGGAGATTATTTATGTGCAGCAGGCAGACAGCACGCCGATGAACGACTGGCAGAGATGTGATGTCGACAATTCCAATAATATGGGCGAGGAGGAAGACCAAAAAATTGCGGCGTTCTGGAGGGAAAAGGTGCGCCAGTACCAAGTGTCAATACCGTGCAGAGACTTTGGAAGAGACGAAGCTCTCCGAAGTGTGCAAAAAAAAAAATAATAGGAAAATGGATTAGGAAATTGAAAGTGAACGAGACAGTTTGATTTGTGGTAAAAAATATTGTGGGATTTATGTATTTTTGGTTGCTTGTGTCTGAGCATGCGGTGCGGGTGCACCAGCCCCATGCGGCAGCACCGCACACAAATGCCAAAACGTCCAACGCTATCGAACACAACAGTGACAGAATAAATTAGGGAGGGAGTGGGGTTGTTTGGATTCTGGTGAAAAACATTGGCTGATTTTCATATGGTATGTTGATTGTGTGTGCATACGAGGCATAATTGGGGAATTGCCCCGGTATGAGGGAATCATTGTGGCTGGCGGTGTCACGGCGTTACCGCATTGTCCATTTTCTTCTATTGTGTTCGAAGGCCCATCAATAACGGAAGCATCTTTAGGGGATGGACGACGAATAAGTTCTATTGAGGAATCAGTGCTCCCCGTGTGACCGCATGGAGTGAGGCGCCGCGTCATGGCTGGGTGAGGATCCGCTTCCGCGTGTGGCTCTTTGGGTGATTGCTGGCTCCGTGTGCGATACTTGTTTGCTGCGGGCTGTGGCCGTATCCCGTTGGCCGTGGGGTTGAACCGGAGGCGGTGGCGGTGTGTCGCTTCTCGTTCTTGTCTATTGGTGGCTGATTGTTGGCGATGTGTGCGTTTGTTGTGTGGAGGGCCGAATCTTCTCACCCGCGAACTGACGGCACTGCGATGGTGCCTGTGTGTGTGTTTGTGTGTGTATGTGTGTGTGTGTTGTCTTTTGGTTGGCCACGGTCCTCCGTGCCGTCCCTTCTGGATTGTCTTGTGACTCGCTCTCGGCGTGGGTGCTCTGCTCTGCTCTCCACTGACGTGTCTGATGTATTGCCGCTGTTGTTCTTCTCCGCCTCATGCATACGGACGCGCTAGGAAAGAAAACAAGCGCCAAAAACTACTGTGGAATTCGAAGGCTCTGAAAGGACCAACAGCACACACACACATTGCCCACACACACATATTTATATGCTCTCACGTGTTGCTGCAGTGAAGGCACCCAACAGACACAACCGTCGCCGCGTGATCGGATCCAGCGGAAGGAGGAGGGAAGGAAGAGAGAGTGAGCCGCAGAGGCCCAACATGTCCCGGCGTGTGTTTACTTCCGCGGCGCTGCACCCCCTCGTCGTGATGTGGATGTGCTGCGGCCCCTGTGAGGCTGCAACCGTATCGACGGGTGAGAATTCAGTGAATGCGCGGC